TACTTGCCATGATGACTGAGTATGACTGCTGCCACCTAGTCTTTAAGAGACTTTAAGAATTTAAAGGCTATCAATGACTCTTTTCATTAATCTATTCTGTAATGGATAATCTCACTTCCATTCACTCCACCTTAGTTTGACTTAGAAATCTTCACATTTTAGGGTTTTCATTTTGACCCCTCTTCATCCTCTGCATGGCACATTCTTGGCTGTGAAGCTCAGACATTTTGTAGGCTCATCTAGCCGAAGGACTATGTAATTAAATACATCATCCAGATAAAGTGTCTTTTCCTATAGCATCATCTTGCAGGCTAAGTTGGAAGAACAAAGCCAACTTTGGTAGTCAGCCCTCATGGTGCATTTCACTAGATTGCTCTTCTAAATGAACCTTTTCTTTCTTCAAATCTTTTAGATTTCCTCCTCCCAGAACATGACTTTGTTTCATATTTCATTGAGAAAACAGACACTATGTATCTTTTATCACCTAATCTATTCACTTACCTTATTTGCCTCCACATTCTCCACTCATTGTCCTTCCTTCTGCTCTGCATGATGAGTCCCAGTACCCACTTGTATTTGGGAATTTTTTCCTCTGTTATCTGCTAAAGGGTTTTGATTTTGCAACTATCTTTCACCTTATGTTATTAGATTCTCATTTTTTACAGTATTGTTTTCATCAGCATATAAAAACTGTACTACCCTTTGCCTTAGGAAAAAATCAACTTCATTTCATAGTTCCCCTTTGTAGAAAAGTTCTTAAAAGAATTGTCTATTAGTCATTGTCTTTGCTTTTTCACATTTTTCCACAGCTCAGTTCAATCATACTTTCTTCCCCTGCACTTCACCTCTATTGTCAAGGTCACTAATGACTTTCATGTTGCTAAATCCAGAGGTCGTTTCTATGCTTTTATTTTACTTAACCTTCCTCTGGGATGTGACCCACATCTTCCTTCTTAAAATAGTTTTCTTTTCCTTTTCTTTTCTCTTGGCTTCTATGACACTATACATCCTGGAGAATCTGAGACACATTTTTGTGATTTATGGAAGCAATGATCTCAGGCAAAACTTCTAAGAGAATGAAGGAAGCAGAACAGGGCAGGGTAGTAACCTGGACAAAGACATGGTTTTGGAAGAAGTTTAACCTTGGTCTTATTTCACCAGACCTCTGGAGCATAGCTTACACTGCAGAGTCAAAGAGGCTGGGCTGTTTCATCTCTGCCTCCATCATGGGCTAGAGGTGGCCTGGAAGCAAGGAATAGAGGCATATCCTCCTAAACATCTCCTGGAAAAGCTCCTCCTTGTAGTCAAGGGCTGCAAGTCAAGGGAACTCTTCAGAGAAGGATACAGGAGAACATCCTTTTTAGCAGGAAGAATCCACAGTAGCTGAAAATTAAACACTAGCCCAATGAACGGTATCTGGCACACCAGATATTCTAGGTGTCTCACCCTTCCCTCCTACTTTGCCATCATTCCTCAGTCTCTTCCTCTATTAGGCTCAATACTCTCCCATGCTCAGTGATCTCTTAGAATCTCCCCAATGATGACTTTTACTTATTGAAGCTCACATGTTTATCCTGTGGTCTTCACTATTTCAAGCAACTCTAGGCTTGCATTTACAACTTCATACATGACATTTCCATGTAAAGATATAAAAGAAATCTTAATTTTAACATGAATATACAAAACTTTTGACTTTTTTGTCCTCCTCCAACACTGCCCTTATTTCAGTTTTCTCTGTCTCAGGTGTTCAAGCTCCAAAGTTTGGTGTTATCCATAATTTTTCCATTTCTTTTACATCTCACAACCTCTGGCTTTACATTCAAACCTTTATTACATATGTATCCACCTTTTCCCTCCTCCTCTACCACCTTCCTAGCCCAAACCACCACCTCTCCCTGGACCACTGGTGTAATGCCTTTGTGTGATCTCTGTGCTTTACCTTTTGGTTCCACTGCATGCTATTCTTGCTGTAGCTGCCAGAGTGATCCTGTTAAAACACATGTCAAATAATGTTACATGTGTGCTTAAACCCTACTGTTCTTTTTTTTTTTCTTTTTTTTTTTTGGAGAGGTTTTTGCTATAGAGCATGTGTGCTCGCCAGAAAGATAGAAAGAGAGAGAGAGACAGAAAGTGAGAAATTACCTCCAAGGGGGGACGGCCATGCAGCAATCTCTTCCCCTCCATTCTCCTCTCCGGATGTTGGGCACGCATACACATGCGTCCGGCGTGAGTTTAAGCTGCCGGGTCTGGGACTTGAACTGCGGTCGACTACATGGGAGTGCAGCGACATAGCTATTACAATTGCTGGTCCCAACCCTACTGTAATTTCTCACTGCACTGGAGTAAAAGGGGATTTGCAGATGGAATTAAGGTTGATAGTCAACTGACCTTGAGAGGAATATTATCCTGTATTATCCAGGTGGACCCAATGTAATGATATGGCTCTTTAAATGTGGAAGAGTGAGTAATGGGATTTGAGAAAGACCTGATCAGCCATTGCTGATCTACAACTGAACAGAAGGGCTACAAATCAGGGATGTAGGCAAACTCTCGACGCTGGAAAGGGCAATAGGTTCTTTTTTTTTTTTTTTTTGGTGGGATTTTCACTGTGTGGCGCGTGCGGCCG